CCTACTGACGTCAGTTTGACACTTGGGACAATTTTTGAGGGAATTAAATTCTACGAGAAAATTCTCTCCGCGTGTGAGCCTAGAATAAATCCAGATTCACTCGCTCTTCTTTCTCGCGGGTAGAAAGTAATTCGGAGTAGAGACCGAGTGGCGCGAAAATTCAGAATCGCGTATATATTCATTGATGCGCATTAACGCAAACGTTAGACTCGCAGTTGAAAGAAAATCAACGCGTCTATTCATAGTATGATAAACGTTTTCAAGTCTCGCTGCAACAAAGGGGCTCCGATCAGAGAGCTGCAGTCTCTTTCTCTCTCTCTCTCTCTCCCCATATATATATATATATATATATATATATATATATATATATATATATATGCGTCGCTGTTGCACAGTTTAAAGGTGCATGTATACATGTATATAGCGATGCACTTCGCTACAAGAGAAAAAAAGAGAGACGACCGTACAATCGCAAGGGCGAGGCGCGTCGAGATGAAACAGGAACGGGTTTTTCAACCAGATGTTTCGTCGGCATTCTTCGAATTCTCCGTTCGAATATTCACCCGATTCCCTATGAAATCTCCAAGAGATCGTCGCGGAACAAATTATAATTTTTTTTATCTATTAATGAAATCGACAGTTTTACATCAAACAGAAATTCAAACCGGATTTTTTTTATTGAAAAAAAAAATAAATCAAGAATGATATAATTTTTCGTTAATCATACGGATTCGGAGAAAATGAAAATTATTGATCGTCGGCATTCTTTGAATTCTTCGCTCGAATATTCACCCGATTTCTTGTAAAATCTCCAAAAGATTGTCGCGTAAAAAATTCAAATTTTTTTTATCTATTAATGAAACCGACAGTTCTATATCAAACAGAAATTCAAACTGGATTATTTTATTGAAAAAAAATGAATCGAGAAAGATGTAATTTTTCGTTAATCATACGGATTCGGAGAACATGAAAATTATTGATCGTCGACATTCTTTGAATTCTTCGCTCGAATATTCACCCGATTCCTTGTGAAATCTCCAAGAAAACGTCGCGTAAAAAATTCTAATTTTTTATCTATTAATGAAACCGATAGTTCTATATCAAACAGAAATTTAAACTGAATTTTTTATTGCAAAAAATAAGTCGAGAATGATATAATTTTTCGTTAATCATACGGATTCGGAGAACATGAAAATTATTGATCGTCGACATTCTTTGAATTCTTCGCTCGAATATTCACCCGATTCCTTGTGAAATCTCCAAGAAAACGTCGCGTAAAAAATTCTAATTTTTTATCTATTAATGAAACCGATAGTTCTATATCAAACAGAAATTTAAACTGAATTTTTTATTGCAAAAAATAAGTCGAGAATGATATAATTTTTCGTTAATCATACGGATTCGGAGAACATGAAAATTATTGATCGTCGACATTCTTTGAATTCTTCGCTCGAATATTCACCCGATTCCTTGTGAAATCTCCAAGAAAACGTCGCGTAAAAAATTCTAATTTTTTATCTATTAATGAAACCGATAGTTCTATATCAAACAGAAATTTAAACTGAATTTTTTATTGCAAAAAATAAGTCGAGAATGATATAATTTTTCGTTAATCATACGGATTCGGAGAACATGAAAATTATTGATCGTCGACATTCTTTGAATTCTTCGCTCGAATATTCACCCGATTCCTTGTAAAATCTCCAAAAGATTGTCGCGTAAAAAATTCAAATTTTTTTATCTATTAATGAAACCGATAGTTCTATATCAAACAGAAATTTAAACTGAATTTTTTATTGCAAAAAATAAGTCGAGAATGATATAATTTTTCGTTAATCATACGGATTCGGAGAACATGAAAATTATTGATCGTCGACATTCTTTGAATTCTTCGCTCGAATATTCACCCGATTCCTTGTAAAATCTCCAAAAGATTGTCGCGTAAAAAATTCAAATTTTTTTATCTATTAATGAAACCGACAGTTCTATATCAAACAGAAATTCAGACTGAATTTTTTATTGAAAAAAATAAATCGAGAATGATATAATTTTTCGTTAATCATACGGATTCGGATAACATGAAAATATTGACATCTATAGATATTTCGATTAGATCCACGAACGCGAAGGGTGGTATCAATCTTAAAAATAGCCCGAGCGCGCCTCGCCGATTAATGATCGCTAGTGGAAGCACGAGCGAGTATATAGAGTGCTTGTATCGTATTCCCGAGCGCATATGCGTGCTCTAGAGAAAGAGAGAGAGAGAATATAATCTTTTTATATACATCCCGTATAAAATATTTAGAGAATATACGCGAGCGAGCGAGCGAGAGAGAAAGACTCTCGAGAGGAGCCAATATAAAATCGCCTGTCGATGAAAGCGTCTCTCGTCGGGAAACGTGACACAAGCAAGAGTGCACACAAGGCCTGGGTGCCTGCCTCGAAGTCGGTCGTGTGTATGCATGTGCTCGAGCAGCATCGATCGCCGACATGACAGGCCACACGCGTGCTCTCTCTCTCTCTTTCCTACATCTATATAATATTATATTGTTCCGTTCGACACGTCGCATTTCCGAGAACGAGGCGGAATTTCCGGAATGAGCCGCGAAAGGAGAGGACGCGCAATGGCGAAAGAGAGAGAGAGAGAGAGAAAGAGAAAAAGAGGGGGACGCTCGCCATGTTCCGAGCCTTAACCCCTTTGCCTCTCGAGATGATCGGAGCGAGATAAGAGAGAATAATGTAATGTGTGCACTGTCAAATCTCTGATAACGACGCGGTTGATAAATTACGATATGTACGCTATGCACTAGAATTATCCAGATTATTTTAAATTATGGTGACTAGCTTCTACGGCAGCTTCACTAATTAATTCTACGATTTGCAAAGCGAATTGACCCTAGAATACTGACTGGAGATGTATGTATGCGTGCGACTATACATTATTATTATTATTATTATTATTATTATCGGACTGTTGCAATATTTCGCAAGTGTTATCGCACACAATTTGTCGTCGTACGTATATTTTCACGTGATTTTGATATTATTCAAATTCAAACGGGAATAGAATTTCCGCGGAAAAATCACCGGCTTGCTTAGGAGAAACACTCGATTCTTATTATTTATCAATATTGGAGCACGCATTGTAGCAAAACTCGGGGTCAGCATTCTGGAGTCGAGACGTACCGAGGAACGCGACGACCGGAAGGAAGTGGAGACTGTCGTGAAGAAACACGCGTGCTCGGGAGCACGTTTTCGTTCACACTCGAATCCTAGAAAAAAAACACGAAAAAAAAAAAAAAAAAAAAAAAAAGAACAAACTTTCGAGCGGAAAAACCGAGGAAAAAACGCAGCACCAGAGGATGACACGCGTTCGTAGAAACGAACGTCTCCGAGAAGAAGCGTGTAGCGTCGAAGGCACGTACTAATTCCGGAATTCGTCGAAGCCAGGAGGGCACGCGTGCACCCGCGGAGGGGGTGGGGAGGGGCGCTTCCTTCCCCCCCCCTCTTCGCGGGGCATCGTGGAAAATTTATGAGGAAAAAAAATATTAGAATCACCCGCGAATATCCTCGGTGCTTTTCCTCGCTCGCGTTTCTTTCCGCAACTTTTCTCACACGCGTGTCGTCCCGACAGTCTCCAACTACACTCCCCTCCCCCACCTCCCTTCCGGACGATCGCGCACCGCGGCTGGTTAAAGTGTCAAAACGTGGGAGCTGCGTGGGCTACGGCGAGGCGGAATTTTCTCGCGGAAAATCGAGAGCCGCCCGCGAAGTCTCTCGCATTTTCGGAGAAATGAAAGAGAAAACGCGAGCGGGCGGAGGCTCCCAAAAGAGAGACAGAGAGAGAGATACGATGATGCTTCTTCCTTCACACACACCCGACATGACGCACGACCTACCCGTGTTCGCGCGGAGACTCTCGCTCGAGAGAGAGAGAGGACGGGAGGCCCGCGGATCTCGCCTTCTCCGCGTGGATTCCTTTTCCGCGGCCGCGTTCCGCGCGCGTTTTCGCCGCACCCACGCCGCGCCGTGCCCGTTAAATCGTCGCGCAAAGCCAGGAGAGATGCACAATAGCGTTTACTTACGGCCGACGTTGTTGTTTCTGAAGGCTTTCGCAATCTGTCGGTCGCACTCGGCAACTTCCGCGGAGGGAGAGAGCCACCGCTCCGGTCAACTTCACGTCTGTCGCGCGACTGACGCGGAGTCCCGAGTCCCGAGCGCGGGAGCGCGCGAACCGAGAGAGAGAGAGAGAAATATCGAAATGTCACTTAGCCGCCCGATTCGCGCGGATTCGATCGACGATCGCCGAAACTCGTCCGTCCCTCGGACGCTCTCTTGACTCCGACTGTCGACGAGACGTTGGACGGGAGACTAGACATTTCCACATGAGTTAGCGAAAAACTCGTCCCGGAAGTGCGGCTCCGCGGGAAGGAGGCGAGAAAGAGCAAATTTATTTTCGACCTTTTTCGCGCGCGATTTTAAATAAATTCGCGATCAAATAATTGATCTGATCAAATCGTCTAAATTTTTCTCGCGACTCACCGATTCCAAATACGATTAAAGGTACGTTTATAGACGACTACTTGACTTCGGTAATGCGAGGTAATTTCCATATATGAGAATCGTCGAGGATATAATAAAATACGAATAGCGGAGAGGCGCGAATGAAAAATCCGAAAATCGACTTTGACAGGTCGCGTCGTTCTCCGTAAATTTCGATCGCGCCTCGAATTGGGGTGATAAAAAAGATGTAATATAAAATATAACACGTCGGTAAATTAGATCTCTTTCCAGGTACACGGATGGGAGTACAAAGGGTCTGCTGTCACGCCGCCGGTTTCTTAGAACGTTTGGGCAACTGTCAGTTTTAGAGCCAATTCGCGCACGGGAGAACGACCATTGTCCTGCTGGTATTTAAATGTAATTTCACGAGACGATTTATATTTATACGTTTAAGGACATTTATGATAAAGGACGTTACTCAGGTTAGTGGCTCGGGACACCTCGCGAGGTGACATTCGCGATCCTCTCGTATCCCCTAATTTAACCCCTCCTTCAATTAAGCATTTGTCATACGGAATTAGAGCTCGAGTTTACTGTTAAATCTCTCGTACATGTCATTGCACGAAGATCCCCGCGATCATAGTTTTTTTTAATAATGTCCTCGCGATGCTCGGAAGCATTTAAGATGTCTCGCTTTGTGTAAGAAACGAATGTAGATTAATCGAGGATAATTTCCAACATTTTCGATCGTCTAAAATAATTGCTGTGTAAACATATACAAAAATACGTTAACAAGTTTGTATAACATTGGACCTTGTTTGAGAGTATATAAATAAAATGAGCAAAACTTGACGTGTGTCATTTCGCATTTTTATATAATAAACATAAGTAATGGCTGTCAAAGTATCTGATATCAAAAGGTGATATCAAAGTAATTTGTATTCATTACATATAATCGCATTTTATCGTATTAATTATTTATATGACTGATGTCATTTTTCTGTATACGTATACAAGAAGCATATAAGAAGGTCATCATAACAATATATTACAAAAAATATTTATTATTGCATAAAAAACTATGTAAGTTGTATAGTTTTTCTTAAATCCTGGTCTTATTGTTTTCTTTTTCTCATATTTTAATTTCTCATATATATTTTCTCATATTTTATACAATATCTTAATAATAGACAAGCAAAAAATGCTTTCACATGTCCTAAATATTGATAAATGTGAAAAGAACAACTTATAAATTTGTACTGATGTAGATTCCTATATTTACATGAGATTGTTAACACAAAACTTAAGCAGGATTTTCTTTTCAGAATGGCTCAACGTTCGCAAAACTATGGATCTACGGATCAACGGATGGATGTACCTGAAATAGGATTTAGTCCTACTGAACTTTATAGTCTCAGTGAAAATATTACCACTAACATATATACAATTAACACAAGTTGGAAAACTTTGGAAAGAGCTTATAAAAACATCGGAACCAGTAAAGATAATCAAGGCTTAAGAGACAAAGTGTAAGTAGAAGAAATCATATATATGATTAATCATAAATTGTAATATTTATTCATTAAATTATAATACTGAATATATACATATATAAAAAATAATTTTTTCAGACATGTAACACAATTAAGTACCAATCAGGTGGTCACACAGACAAGCAAGGATATAGCAAGATTAACAGTATTGATGAGGCGTGGAGATAAACAGCAAAAATTACAAATTGAGAAACTCACAACAGATTTTAAAGATGCATTACAAAGATATTCCGATATGCAAAAGGCAAGAGATACGTTCCTGATATAAAAACTTGGAGTAAAATATAAATGATACATAGTTCTATAAAATATCTATTTTATTTGACCTTAAATTAATAGTAAATGTTTTGCAGTCAATTGCAGAGAAGATGAAGAAACATATTTTAGCTATAACTAATATAGAAAATTCAATGGATGGGGAAGATGCTGAAGAGACACAACGGCTACTTCAAGTACAAGAACAAGAACATAAGGCTACACAAAGGTTCGAAAATTTTGACATTTTTGCATTTTAGCGCAAAACGATATTTCTACACTTATAATTAATGCAGAAAATCTTACCCATTTACTTAGTTGGAACAAAAGCGATGGTTTCCATTGGTCGCATATTGCACAATGCTATGAACATAGAAGCTATCGTAATTGTATCCGTTAATGGGGAATGTAAGATTTTCTGGATGAAGCAATAAAGAAATATAGAAATCGTAGATATTTTAGATATCTGACAAGATAGACTGAATTTAAAATTTCAGTACAAAAAACTTAATTATCACATATATTTTTTATATAGAGAAATAATTATAAAATACACTCTTATGTGTATGGTAAGTTAGTTTCAATGCATCTTGCAGAACAATATTGAGCAATAATTAGTAAAAATAACAATCATTATGTATCATGGCATGCCTAGAACACTCGAGTTTCAACAAGGACTGCTGTTGGAAAGAGAAGATAGGATTAAACGAATTGAGGGGGATATTCTAGATGTGAATCAAATTATGCGTGAACTTGCAGCATTGGTGCATCAACAAGGTGATACTATCGGTAGGTATCTTTTTAGTATTTTAAAATATGGTTTTATAAATGGTACTCTTTTAAACTTTCTTACAATGTGAAGAGTTATGGAAAAATCTAAAATAAATCTGTTGACATTTGCTTGTTATAAAATATATAACACTTGATTGATAAGCAAATGACTTTCTTGTAGATACGATCGACAACCATATAGAGAATATACACAGCGATGTGGAGTTAGGAGCGCAGGAACTTGTGAAGGGAAGTAATTACCAAAGTAAATTTCGTCGGAAAGTTTACATCTTGTTGTTTCTTGCGGTTATAGTTGTCATTGTATTAACTGTTATTCTAGTCATTAAATTAAGTTAGCGCCCCTAGCCTTTGTGCGAATTTTAACGATAAATGGAAAGGGTTGTCTCAATCTGTGTTTCATCAAGTTGATTAAAGTCAAAGTAATGTGTTTAAAATCATGTTTCATTCATCTTGATTTTTCTATTTCCATACATTGGAAATGTAAATGAGAGTATAGAGACTTATTTTATATTTGCTTATGAATACAAACATCTGCTTTATTACCAATAATAATACCTCTTATATTTTTGGAGAGATATGTCAGACATTTTTAAATTTTATAAAACAATATTTAATAATTTCACATGTAAAGTATGAATTTTTATGGGTTTTTTTAAAATTCTATTCTTGCACTTATAAACGTACAATTATTGAATAAATTATTGGAGCGTATTGACAAAAGAACTCATGATATCTTTATCTTAAATTGCATCATTGTTTTATATTTTATAATATCTCATATATTTTTATATTAATATTAATTTCAAGTTTTTATGTTTAAATTAAAATTTTTAATAAAATTATAGAATTATTTATATTTGAATTAAAAATTTAAATAATAAAAATTTTATAATTCTAACAGATTCTATATGTCATAGTATTGACAGAGAGCTTGCCGAGAAAACTTTTCTCATGTTGTATGCTTCAATTACCTTAAAATATGTAATAGTGATACATATATATATATATATATATATATATATATATATATGTGTGTGTGTGTGTGTGTGTGTGTGTGCGTGTGTGTGTGTGCGTGTGTGTGTGTGCGTGTGTGTGTGTGTGTGTATGTCAATAATAAAATTTATAGAAATTTGTTAATATCTTTTTATAGCTTGAAATTGTATGGGGTATATTGTTGATACTATATATCAACTTGACTGATTCGTTTCTTTAGTAAACTATATCTATATTTAAAATATTATGTAAAAGAATTAAGTTCTGTGAAATTAATTGTTAACAGATTTATAAATAGGTAGAAAATTTCAGTTTTTATGTGTAAACATCAAGTTATTGCGCAAATGAAATGTTTATTCTCATTGCAACACAAAATGATATTTAATAGCGCGTACATATAACTAATAAGTAAATTAATACAAAACTTTGCACATACATATACATTCTCATTATATTTGTATAAAAGATTTTTATGCATTTTATGATTATTCTTGAAGTACTGATCAAAACAATTTTTGATCTTCTTCATTACTATTTGCATATTATTACTATCTGTAATGGTTTAACAATATTACAGTCTAAATTAAACATGTTATTAGATGGATAAAAATTAGGAGTTGACAATTATTTGTGAATAAATTCTTTAACTCGTTTAATGAAAAGGATAAATTCTTTTAATGAAATTGTATTAACCGACTGCATAAAATCTACATATTAATTCATATGCTATTTGATTTTTCCAGTTGCATTTTATTTCAATTATATATTTTCTTAAGCTTGTACTTTTATCGCTATAAATTCTGTTTAATAAATCTAATTCCATGAAATGTTATTGAAAATTACTTCAATAGTTTCGATAATAATTAACTTGTATATTAATTTCATCAATATAATTCTCAATATAATAATTTTCTTCTAAAATAATATCATGGATTAATTTCGTAGACAATATTGCAATATAAACAAATATATACAAAATAATAACATGTATATGTATCTCAAAAGTTTTCTTCAAGATTTGAAATATCACCGCGCTTGATTAAATTAATCAAAATGATATCGTTTATAATTATATCGTTAAAGTGATACCGCCTATAAAGCGATATTTCTGATTGTATAGATGTTGATAGATATAAGAGAGAAAAATTAACTCGATTGAGACAACCACTTTTCTACAATTATTCGATTCTGATATGAATATTAGGCATTCCGGATCCTTAAAAATCCAACATATAATATAATTAAGATTATACTCTGACTATTGTATATAATTATATATAATTAATCATTAATATTCTTTAAATAAATAGTGCTATAACATTGATAACAATGATACTTGAGCTAATGTCAAGTATATAATAGCTTTATTATGCCATTGTTGATTTGTATGTGCTAAATTAATATTAAGCATTAAATTGTTTTGTTTTTTTTTTGCAAATAAAAATTTTTTTATATCCTATATATATGTTATATAATTATAACATGGAATTGCATTGAGAAATATAAGAGTATATCTAACTAAAATATACTATACACGTACAGAATTAGAAATATCGGATTTTATTGAATTTTAAGGCTGTTAATAGAAAAGTTCACTTACTATATCTAGTAACGAAATTCTTGTTACATATATATATATGACTTGTACATAGTATAAAAAATTATTGCATATAAAATATATAAATATATACATACTATATAATGGTCGGACCTTCTGTCGCTAGAAAGTTTGTTCAATCAGATAAAACTCGATTTTTATGATAAATGTATGGAAAGAGACATATAAAAATGTCCAAGTTTTTATACTAGCTTATTTACATTTACAAGAATATGTCGTAAACGGCAGTGATTTTCACATAAACTAATTATCCTTATTACTTGTAACATAGCACATATATGATGTTGATATTTTAATATACAATGTACATATAAAAATTTGTTCGTCTAACAATTCAAAATTATGTTCAAATTGTCGCAACGAGACTTTTTATATATGTTCTTTTGGAATGTGATAATATTTAATTTTGTCAGTTATACTTAAGATTATATCTTGGAATCTTCTAAAACATACAAATCACGTAAAGTTCTTTCTACTTTGACATAACTTTCGCAACTGGAAGTTGAAAGATTTAAACTGCGCAGTCATTTTATACTCATTTTCAACATACAATTATATACTTACTCATTTCCAATTGTATACTGCAGAAGCAATTTAAGCTTTTATCTTGTTTTGTTGTTGAGATCGCCTGACTTTTATCCGCGATTGCAGAGTGAGTAACAGGCCCGCAAGAACATCGTGATTCGGTAACTTTTTCGCGAATAACAAACGCTTGACTGAATCATCGTACGTCAGGAGGGCCATCATATTTTGTAATAAGAATCCTTGACAGTATTCCAAAAGCTGTGCTGCATTATACACCTGCAATTTTGAAATAATCCGTTAAACAATAGTACCATGCATGATTCTTAGTTTCTCTACAGCTATATAGGTTGTTATAAAAATATACCTTTGCGTGAATATACATAGAAACGATATTGTCAAGATCCACCATTGTGGAACACTGTGCTTCACAGTATCTAAGCAACCCATCGAGTTGAAAGAAATTGGCTGCCGCCATTAATTCTAGGACATCACTTTGATTAACTTCCAAAGTAGCGCAACCGCCGTGGTAAAGAAATTCCATGACCATCTGAAATCGAAATACATCTCTAAGAACAACTTTCTTGTCTTTAATAAAATATTCATTAGTCAGTATATATAAATCTTAAGGAAGATGACAAAGATGAAATTTATCAGCATATTTCAAGAATTTGTTGAGTTTATTTAATTATAATGGTTATCGCAAATATTATAGCAGTGGATAAGCTTAAATCAATGCTATTTTATTTTTAATTAAAAATTTTATATGCAACATTCAGTAAAATACATGCAAGATATTGATTAAAACCCTGTTGGAATAAAGTTATTAGTTTCCGCAAGAAAAATTCATAAAAATAGGCATCTTTTTGATCCTTTTAAGTGTATGCCCCCCCCCTCCTCCCTTAAATTATCATCAATTGACATTTAATTTCAATGCTGAAAAATAATACAATTATTATACAAGAAATATAAATGCGTACCTGGAATATGTGATATCTTATGTCGTTGATCTGCACAATAGGAGGATTGCCTTCGCATAATTTTGAGCTCAACATATTTCTGAATCTTGGGGAAGACGTAACTAATACAATCTTATGACCGTAGAAAACGCGACCTTCAACTCTAAATTGTACGTCACTTAATTCAGGATTATTTACAAATTTCGGATCGATTCTCGATCCACTCGACAAAGTGGTATCTCTAATTGGCTTGATCGGTTCCCAGCCATAACATGTACAAAATATATCAGCGAGCAACAGTGTCGTACCTTCCTTCTGCGAAAATACAATACAAGTGACATCTTGAATAATTGCATCAATGTATAATATACAGACAATAAATATATAAACGCAACTCCTATATACCTTACTATATCTAAAGATATTGAATAAAAGCGGCAAACATTCCTGCACGAATTGTGTAGAATAATCATCCGGGCAGACTTGAAGAAAGTCTTGAAGTAATTGATCGATAACCGAATCTAATCGCATTTCGTGAGCCGTCGCAAGACTGTGCATCCAGCAATGCAGTGTCCAACCTACTTTTAGCCCACGAAGTTCCATGGTGATATCTATTAAATCGTGATAAATATAATTATATGAAAATATGAAACATATGTAAAAACTTTTTTCAATACATTATATTGTATTAAGAATTATATTGTCTTACCTAAATGATTGCTTTCCGCGGTATGGTACATTGCTTCCTGCAGCGCCTTTGTTTGTATTTTATTAAACACTGGTTCTTTGCCTTCTCTGCGAGCTCCTCTCCCTTCAGCAATCTGCTGTTGAGGATTAGTGCCGGCATTACCTTCCGCTAATATCTCTTCCAAAGATAATATCTCTTTTTCTCCACGCTTGGCTGAGAAGTTGAGTGGATGTGACAATAGTTGATGAAGACAGCTTCTTTGGCCATGCGCCGTTGCCACCGATATTGCGCTATTTATCAAGAATATAAAAATTAAAGACTAGTTTCTATTAATTTATAAATGCATTATCTAACATATTTATCTTAACTTTTCAATATAGATATATCCCAAAACAATAATCTATTATTTTTCATGTTCAACGAAAAATTTTAATGAAATTTATGAACGCAATTGAACTGTTAAGACTAAAGTAGCACTTGTTACCTGTAACAACCACGTTGCACGGAACCCGAATAGGAGAACGAATCCTTGATTAGAGTGGACAGGAATGGTTGCGCACCATGTGCCAAGAGAAGAGCCACCATCTCGTTGTTTCCTGATGCCGTGGCTGCTTGCAGAGGTGTGACCGTGCATTTGTCCTCGCTGAGTTTTGCGCCACCCTCTGCTGCGGCACCTCTCTCGAGCAATACCCTTGCTACGTTGCAATGACCCAACAGAGCCGCGTAAGTCAGAGCGGTCCAATGTTGCGTTTCCGCGTTGAAAGCGGTTTGCGCATAGCATCCTGGGGCAACTCCATTGGGATTACCCGGGCTGTTGGCAGACGTTCCATTCGCGTTCGGCATCGTTTTACCAGTCGGCGTTATCATCACCGATTGATTGATCGGACTCCTAGCATTCGGTGTACCGGAAGAAGTTTGCGGCATCTTGGAAGGCGTGTTAAACGACGAATTCGTCGCCGGCGGCGGACTTTCGATATTTACATCCGCTCCGGCGTCCAGCAAAGCCGACACGGCTAATTCGTCACCGTTGATACACGCTAACATCAGAGCCGTGAATCCAGCGTCGTTCACCGTATTGATTTTCGTCGAGGGTAGCAACGGCATCGCCTGGGTTATGAGATCCGTTCGACCGCTGATCAACATCTTGAAGGCCATATCTAATGTCAGCAACCGAACATATTCCGCATCGTCGACGCGCTTCGAGCACACCGCTATCTCCTCAGAACTGCACACAATGCCATATAAATATTAATAAAGTTGTTAAACAGAATCAACAAAACTAATTGTAAAATTACGACAAATCTATACATTTAAATAAATCGTCAATTGTTTTACTTTAAAACTACTTTGTTTTAATCAAAAGCTTTGACTGACCATATTGGTCTGACGGGACAGTCCACACCAGGCAACAGCAACCGAGCAGCTTGATTGATGTCATCCTGGTCTACAACAAGACCATGTCTATGTTCCGAGTGTGCTGCAGCTACTCGTAACCATTCCACTAATGGTGGTAGCACAACATAAGCTCGTTCATACGCTAATTCTTGTATTCCAGATCCACGTTCACCATGCTCGAGCTTAAACAATAAATTTGGATCAAATCAATGACGCAAAAAATAAATCTGCGATAAATTCGTTTTAAGTCTCGAGATAAAAATCTCCTGTACCTGTGAGCATCTCATGTAATAAAACAAGGCGTGTAACGCTCTCGTTGTTAGCGGTATAGGGCAATGTCCCGCTTGTGCTACCTTGGAAATCAAATCCATCAATTCCGACATCGAGCCTACACATGTTGTAAGCAACGATGGTTCCAAAGCCGACTGAACCGCGTCTCGTCCGCTACGCGACGATGATGATGAATTCAAGGAACTTACGCTCGCCCAACGAGGCATCGCAAGGGCGCCTGCGAAAAGACATATTTTAATATTTTTCATTGATACAGATAACATATTATATATTCTAAGCAAAATTCGTACATCTTCAAAGTAAAATTTGTTATATATTTTTTTATTTTTATATCAAAACAATCAGTGTTTTATTTAAAAATTTACTTAAAATGAACATCTGCCGAGGAAGATAATTAAAAATCATATAAATTTATCCGCGTGTAATAGAACATGGCACCTTCTTTTCTTTACCAAAAATCCTGGTAACAAACCTGATGCAGTTCGACCGGCATTGAGATGCGCGTACGGCTGCAACAGGCCCCATAAGTCGCCGCTGTTAGCTATAGCGTGTTCCAGCATCGTCGCTGTAAGAGTCGTATGCGGCTCGGTCGGCATGCATTGTAACAGTATTTCCTCCAGAAGATTCTCAATTCCAGCCGTAAGGTATATTGCGGCGTACTCGTGGATCATCCGACCGAGTTTCACGTCAGACATCCAGCGTAAAAAACGCCCGACAGGTAGTTGCAATCCTGAACGAGAAGCCTTCGATTGTTTCAGCTGATCGCCGGATACAGCGAACATCGCGGCGGCTCGAAGACATGCCTGTCAAATATCAGATGACTAGTTAAATGATCGTTTCGCAATTAAATTATTATTAAAATATTAACATAATATAACATTATTTATTATTTTACAATTCTTCTTTCTTACACAATTGCAGTTATTTCCAAGCGTACCTTGGTACAGGAATCCGCTAGAGCCGGGCAGAGCACGATTTTGAAGGCGCTGTACACTTCGTGCTTGCTGCAGAGACCTATCGGCTTTGCCAGTCTCTGAGTCTCGCGACCGATCCTGACTAGTGCGCGTTGCAGTAGATAGGAAAGTCGCGGAATTGTCTCCATCGAGACTTGCTCCATGTGCTCTCTCGTACGACCATTCTGAAGCACACGTAGCACGTCGTGGTGGGTCCATGGTAGTTGCTGTAACTCCACCAAACGATTGTGAGAGTCCACCCAGACGAACTCGTCGGCGCTGGTCACGTTGGTGTTGATCGTCTCCAAACTAGAGTGTCGCATCAGCCTCCTTACTGCTGGTTCTGAGCTCTCCGAACCGCTCAGCGACGAGTACGTGGACGAAGACTTGTGCGAACGCATCGTCAGCTGCTGAATCGCCAGTTTTATGTCCTCCAAACCGGAACCTGACCATGGTACCTGCAGCTAATCAGAATAAATAATTCACATTTATGCAATCAAACATTAATATTTATTCTCATGCAATGTTTCTAATAGTTTAACATCTATCTTCATTTTATATAAATTCTAACTGGAATTTGATTGATTTTCTAAACTTCTTTTTTGGAGACAAAAAAGGAACAGAGAAAGAATCGATAAAATTTCAGTTGTCTTCGACTAATATTTATAAGAGCTTTGTTGAAACCTTGGCAGGAGTAGCTCTATGCCGGTTGCGATTCTGGCCGGATCTTTTGCCGTTCCTCTGAGTAACCGACGCTGAGAGTCGGTCGTCCTCAGGTACGGCGTTCAGTTGCTGAGGACTGTGAGTCTTGTGGTGACGATGCGGCGGCGAGCTGCTGCTCGTATGACCGCCGGTGTCTGACATGCTCGCATGTCCGGAAGATCGGTTCTCATCGGAGGAGCTGTTACCGGTGCATTCCGGTCGCCTCTGCAAAAATTTGGTAATCTTTAATGGCGAACAATGACATTTTCTAACTTTTGTACGTCAAGTAATTCTTCTTATTACACGTATAGAGAGCATAAGAAAAAATGCCTGATATAATAAAATAGCAGAGAAATATTAGAAATCAGGCATAAGCATTCATAAAGCTTTTTAACGTGGATTTATCGTAGGCTGGAATTTTTCTATATACCTGAAGTGCACGAAGCTCGTGTAAACTGAGATGATGGTGTTGGGAGTGACGTTGGTGTTGAGAAATCGGTGTCGGTGCCACGCTGTCCGTATCTCTTTCCGGGATCATGTGGACCATATCATGAACCCCGTTTTTGGGTGAATTCTCCGTGAAATCCTTAGAGTAAGGAGGACAAAATATCTCACGGCTATTGCTACCCGGCCTGTAAAATAATTTTAATTAAATATTAAAATTAAATTAAATATTAAAATATTAATTAAATATAAATCGACATGTAATTTATTATTTATATATTTATTATATATTTTATTATTTTATGTTATAATTTGTTATTCTTATACATTCATTTTTATACTATTATTGAATATTCATTATTGTTATATTTTTACTTTTTATTATATATTATTAAATTATATATATTTTCAAAAAGTGATGTTATTAATTTTATTAAAGTTGAAAAGCTGCACGCACGTAATATTTCAAGTTTAATAAATTTAATAATAAAAATGTTTTGAATAATATAATTTGAATATGTAATTTAATAATATAGAATATATAAAAAATAATATAAATCTAATAATAAAATTATGTAATAAATATAAAAAGATAATAAAGTATAAAATAAAATCATTAGAAATTTTATTGTAAATTACTTAACATCCAAAATGTTTTGCTTGTTTAGTTGACCTATCTTTTAATAATTTATAAATCTTCCATAAATACATACAATTCTACAAATATCATGAGTAAATTGAAAGCTTTGTAAAATTAATTTATATCCAATATAAGAAATAGATTTATTTCACAAAAAATATTTTTGCATTCTACTGCCGAGGAATGTAAAATGTCTGGGATAATTTTGATCATAAATCTCTTCTTTTCATTTCATTACATTACATTACATTATTATGCTATGACAGAATAGATTAATGAAATTAACGGAAACAAATGTATGTGTCAACTTTCTCAGAAGTATAGATAAAATATTTCGCACATGTTTCCGCGTGGGCGAAGAATATAAAATCTCTTTACATTAATCATCTCTTTATATCATTTACGAATGTTTGTTTCAACTTCTTTGAAATTGATTTTTTTCAAGAAAAATATCAAGACATTGATTGATTTTGTATGTGAATAATTATAGAAATAAACATTTTTCACTACGTCTGTCAGCGATAAAATTAAATAACAGAACTTAAATCTCTCTTTATATATTTAATTTTTAACAAAATTTATTTCAATAAAATATCTTTTATAATTCAAGAGTTATCAAGATATTAAAATAAAACTAAATTTTCACTCAAGTGAAATCGACTCCGATTTGAACAAAAAAATACGCTGTAGTTCGTGGCGAGCTAGAATCATCCAATATAAGTTTCTCATTCAACGACCCGAATGATACGCAATATCCTGTCGGGTAGGTCGGCGCCTTCTTAATTGTCGTAGAAATATTTCTAGCTTGCCTTATCTCATGTGAGAAAATGCATGGTGTCGCACGCAAGATAGACGCATTCCATGAAAAAAGGATTTGTCCGATTTTTACGGTTTATTTCTTCGAGAAATGAAAGATTCCATGAAAAAAAGCAAATAAAGTATGCTCATCTTGCCTAATGAGATACTTCATGTTATTTTAGAACTATTGTATAACGATTGTAAACTCGGAATAATCTTTTTACCCTGAAATATGCTGACGTTTGAGGTACAAAAATTCATTTAACTAGCGTTGGAAAAATGTGAAGAATCAGCGTAACGCAAGTTTAAAAAAAAAACATGTAACGCACAATACATAAAATCTCGAATTTACTCATGTTTATCAAATATTTTTTGCATATGCAACAATCTCGAATGGTTCACGTTTTATCGAATATTTTTGGGGCAAACGTATACTTTTATATTTTTAAATTTATCAATTTTTCGAGATTCCAGAATCTGCCAATATACATTTCGCAAAATATTTTTGAACAATCGGTATCGAGAGAATTCGAAGAGAATGCAATGCTTTATCGGAAACGAACAATTATCGCAATTAAAAAATTATTCAGGCCAACAACATATGTACTGTAATTAAATAGAGTTAAAGGCGCGCAAGTTTCACCTATAGAGTGTAATTATTAAAAAAAAATCATGGATATCGAAATGTACGCGTTTCGAAATCCTCAAATGAATGCTATTATATTCGATCGCGCGACTATTGTTAGTCGATATTGATGCCGAAGGGGAGGCTTGGCTTCGACAACTTTCAAATCCAACATTAAGGTTGTATATTGCGTAAACCGCGCGCTCGCGGTATTCGAGAGATGCCGAGAGATATGGCAGAGATACGCGGGAAATGCAGCAACGCAAGTAGCGTATCGAACAAATCAATTCCCGGTTATGGCATATGGTTATGCGAAAAATGCGCGGCCATTTAATCCACTCCCTGCATTTCACTTTTAGACATACGACTGTTTCGACAACGAATCAATTCACAGCCCGTAATTATTATATTTACTATCAGCAAAAGATGCAGAATAAAATGTTGAAAGAAGAATATGTGAAAAACAACTTAAAAAATATAAATTGCAATAAAGAAAAATCTATCAAAAGATAATACAATAATAAACATTAAAAAATTAAACATTTAAAAAATCAATAATTGGAGAATTATGTGATTATCCAAGCAATATGCTCTATCGCGAATTAAATAAAACAATTAAACTTAATCCAGTAAACGTGATTTTAAAAATCGCGCGAATAATTATATATAGCTTATTTAATCAATCACTGTTTATTAAACAAATTGCACCGCTAAAACTTCATAATTGTAATCATTATTATAATTCATAAAATAAATTGCATAATTATGTATTCTGACAATTTGTACGATATTACGATTTCAAATTACAAAGAATATATTTTATTATAAAAAATAATTTAGAGGAGAGATTTCATGCATTATTTGTATATCTCGAAGACTTCTCTGTTGCAATTTAACAAATAGAAGTATTATACAATATTTATATATTTTTTATATATTTTATATATAAAAAATATATAATCTTTTATCGTCCTATTATATCGTTAAAAGTTGGTTATTGTTAAATAAACATTACCTAATGCTTAAAATAAGCAAGTGACATTTAATCTGCGAAAAGGAATTTAAAACAAATAAATGATGAAATATCTTCAAGGCTCTACACTCGAATGCCCTTATTACGGACTTTGAGAGACATCAACGTTGGAATTCGAGCATTAGCAACGCATCATCTGAATTTCCTCGGAGAGCGAGAAGAACGGATCGTTTGTACGAGGAGAACTAAATCAGCAAGATCGCAGCTACGAGTTCTTAAAACAACTCCCGTAATCATCGAATGTAATGCCGATTCGAGACGCCTTAACACGACGTTTTACACGCACGTCTCTCATTACGATGATATCGATTCGATACAGAGCGTGAACGTTTCGTATAAAAATATAGGCGTCCATCATCCGCGAGAGAAAAATTCAACGCATAGGAGTTTCAAAAATACGAACTGTCCGATAATGATGTCATCGCTCATGAATTATAAACGGAGTACTAAACGCTTTTGATGAGTGTGCAAAGTCAATGACATTTAAATATGTAGTCCTCTGTTTAATAAAAAAAAAAGGAAAGCGTATCTTATATATTTTTTATAACTTAAAACCAATAATTTATCAGTTTATTTTATTTTCCTCATTATTTTTGTCATTACAAATCCTAAAAGGCAGATCAATCACTTTTATTCCCTCCATCCTTATTTTTGTATTACGTTTTTTAGCATGGCTCGCTTGTTTGTTAAAAGTTTATAAAACACGAGGAAACAATCATTTTTACAAAAAAAAATATGTATATTTTATAAAATTATTTTGTTTGCAAGTAATTTTATAATAAAAGTATAAAAATTAATATTCCATTAAATATATAATTATAAAAAAATTTTAATACAATTACTTTTATTTATCAAGAATATTAGATGAATACTATAATCATTAAATATATAATTAATACATAGATATTAATTATATATGTACACGGAGAGATTTTTTTTTAGAATTAATCCGTAAAATCATGTAATCGTGAGACAATATGGTATTGAAAGAATTTTGCAAGAATATCTTTGATTAATATTTACCACAGTAGAAAATATTAATATGTACATAGTAAAATTAATTACTCAAACATATTTTATATCTTATTGTGATGGATATTAAAATTTTAATCAGAGAACCTCGAATAAAATTCTTCCAATACCATATTGTCCCATACAATTACCATGACTTTCAGGGTAAAATACTAAAAGAATTCTAAGAATTTTAAATCCTGAAGAATTCTAAATTCTCTCTCTCTCTCTCTCTCTCTCTCTCTCTTCTCTGAAATAAAATATTTTTATTCGTAATAATTTTCTACCTCAGAAAAGAGATTAATGGGTTAATAATCAGCTCCTTCATTAATCAGAAAACTTCAAATAAAATTCTTCCAATACCATATTATCCCATATAATTACCATGACTTTCAGGATAAAATCCTAAGAGAATTCTAAGAATTTTAAATCTTAAAAAATTCTAAATTCTCTCTCTCTCTCTCTCTTTTCCTCTGAAATAAAATAATTTTATTCGTATAATAATGTTATACCTCAGAAAAGAGATATTAATGGGCTAATCAGCTCCTTCATTAGCATAGACAACAAACAGGGCCCCGCAGAAATAATACGTTATCGCGTCGTACACGAAGAGATGCGAGAAGGAATCCCGATTCGCCGAAAGGCACAGCGCGTCCACTCTTCTCTCCGTTCAGGCGCGATAAACGCGAGCGTAAATTTACCCTCTCAGCCGCCACTGCTGCACGAAGCTCCAGTCCGCCTTGAACCCGCTCGTGTCCCCCGGCAAGGACCAATAGTCCTCCAGCTGGCTCTCGTCCTCCTCTATCCTGAGCACGTCCTCCCTACTGGGACTGACGTTCACCACGATCTCGTGCACGAGCTTGGGATCTACGTTCTCCGTCACGGAATCCCGTCGTCCGTCGTCATCGTCTTCGTCGTCGACGACGTCCTGCACCGTCGAGTCGGGAAGAATCTTGTCGTTACGCGGCCGCAACGAAGCCTCCGGCGCTGCTTCCGGCGACGATGATGATGATTGCTGCCTCGCCCTGTCCTCCCTCCGTCTCGGATTCGAGTCGCCGAAGTAGATGACCGTCTTGTGGCCGACGTCCTTTACGACCTGGTCGAAGTCGCCGCCGCGGCGACTGCGGTCCTCCAAGGTCGAGCTCTTCTCGTAATCGTCGCACTTGGCCGAGGGCTTTGGCGAGAAGGGCACGGCACGTCGCAGGATGAAGTTGGCGCCCTCGTGGCCGTCCATGTTGTTCGCGCTCATCTTGTAGCCCTTTAGCTCGCGACACAGGATGCACCTGCAGTCCTCGCTGCATTGCGCTCGTCTCGTGGCTGGCATGTCATTCAGGAAGAAGCATTCTAGGAAGGGTTCCAAGGATTCTACCCTTCGAATGGCATTGATTTTCTCGCCTACCTACAGGCGCGTAAAATTCGAAAGCGCGATATCCAAGAGTTTCCCCGATAATCTTCCTCGAATTAACTTTCGATTTAATTATGCACGTTTCACTAGTGCGATTTTTATTCGTCGTAAAATTACTTAGTGCAGCTTCTCCCACATTCGTCCATTTTTTTCGTAGAACGTGATCCAGGGATATCGCGGGTTTATATATTTTATTATTCACAGATATCTTTTTTTATCCTCTGCTCGACTGCTTTTCAGTTCACTAGAAACTGGAGCGATCCATTAGACGTTGCTTGTGGAATCACCGGATGTCGGTTTCACGTTCGATGATAGCGCGTTTGTTGCTCCAGTTTCGCGCGAAAACTCACCACAGAATCATCTCGCTGATTCATCACGATGCGGCGATGAAGATGACGTTTCAACCAAACAAGTCATCACTATACTTATTAATAATTGCAAGATCTCGCCCATAGTCTAGTCTACAGCACACATATTCATTTTAAATGATTCCTTGATTTTTCCCCAATAACACACCTAACTCTAACTGGATCTTGTGGAAGCTATCGCGAATGTTTATAACAAAAAAAAAAGAAAAAAAACGAAATGAATAGCAATTACAACGTTACTCTTTTCCGCTACATTGACACTCGGCGGTCATTATACTGTGCTCAATGTAAACACGCGACTGAGCGACGACGATGCGTCTACGGCTTCCTGTGCATCGGCGAAACAGGTGAAACGCGTGCACTTCCCTACAGCAACGTCGGGGAGAAAAGAAGAGATATCCGTATCACTTTCCTACCTTCACCGTACCGTATCCCCCGCCTGCTTGCTCTTTGTTCCGTCGCGCGTAACTATGATATCACGGGAAAAAGAGAGGCTTCTCGCGTTTGTAAAAAAAAGTCCCGAGGACGTGAAAATGACGCTCTCCATTTTGTCGCCGATCGGAGATACTCAAAGTTACCGAATTAAAGCATAATTGAAAGATTATTGAAAGAATTTTTATTTATTTTTTTTTTTTTTAAGAAATGCGAAAAAATTGCTCACATGTAATTACAGAATATTTTATAATTAAATTTTCTACTTTTTCTAAAAAAACACAGACTCCGAATTAGCTGACTATTTCGACTGTATCGAGGTAATTGTACACAGAAAGAATTTTCTCTTAGAATTTACCCTGAAAATCCTGATAATCATGGGATAATATGGTATTGGAAGAATTTTATAAGATATATAAAATATATTTGATTAATTTTACTATGTACATATTAATATTTTTTATTGTGTTTTATTAATTAGAAAAACTCTTATAAAATTCTTCGATATCGTAACGATTATCGTGATTTTCATGGTAAATTCTAAGAGAAAATTCTTTCCGCGTACGATTCATAATTATGATATATATATATATAAAAGATCACTTGTATGACACCGATTGGATAACATTGCGTAACATTTTACTTGAATGAAAAAACTGAGACTGTATAAGGCATCACACGGGAGATTAGAGCCGCGAGCACGAATCTCGCGCGGACTTCTGGTTTTATCATCATCGGCGTAGACCGAGAGAGCTTATCACGCGCGGTTGCAGCGTGCGTAAGTGGCCGGCCACTTGTAAACTACTACTGCCATGCTCTTTTCACCGGCCGGCCGCGCAGGAAACGGGAGAACACAAACGAGTATGTGTCTTTATACATATAGAGAAAGAGAGAGAACTCCACCATATGTTTCGGGGGAGAATTTCCGGCGACCATCCCACTTCCTATGGCCGTGTACTCAAATCACATCGTTCCGATCAGCGTCCGTGACGGACTCTGACATCGCTTTTGATATTGTTGTGTCTCGTTGATTTTTTCTCACCTTTTATATACGGGGTGTTTCAGAACTGGCGGGACAGTTTTTAATGGCAGATTATTCCTGGTATCATTCGGAAACGATTAAATAAAAGCTTTTTTTGGAAACTAAACCTTATGGAAATAAAATATTAACAGAATTATCTTCTTTAGTTAAATTTAGGTAGAGTTTACTTTAATAGAATTTTAATATAAGGCTTAGTTATAAAGATACATAATAGTAAAAATTGGGAACATACTAAAAATGATGACTTTCCTCAACATTTTCACTCAGGAAAAATCGTCTCCAAATGATACCTGGAATCTAACATTAAAAACTTTTCCGCCAGTTCTGAAACACCCTTTGCTGGCTCAAGTTCAGAATTTGCGATATTCTCACACTTTTCAGATATAATATATCAAAGTTTACAAACTTGATTAAAATTTAATCCTGAGCGCATCATAACTCTCCTTGTATTTTTTTGTAACTTGTGAATAATTCGTCAATTTTGTACACCTCAATTATATTTCCTAAAATGAGTTCTCGTTCATTAAATTTTCAACACGAAGGATCCTCACTATATATATGTAATTAAATCGAAACTCACTTTAATTCCTTTATCACTTTAATTGCTTTATAATTGCATTTCAATAAATAAGAAATGCATTTATAAATGCATTTCTTACGTTTTTTCCCTATTAGCATTACTTTTATAGCTTGGAGTTTAATGATCCCTCGTGCGATGAAGTTGATTTCGATAGATTCTCACACACAAAACGCACGTTAAAAATAAGTACCGGTTTGTCTGAGTAGAACTGTCTGCTTTCGCGTTAATTTACGGTAACTCGAGCTCAAGGCAGTCAGTAGTTTTATAACTGGCTTCTATTAAAGCCTTCTTATAATGTAATTTGTATAATATTAAACGAATATATACGTATATAATAAAATTGCCATGTGTGACGAATATTATCAGAGAGATACAGTTATTCTAAGGTAAAGCATCCGTAAAAGTGTACCCGAAAATTGCAAAAAGCATTTTTCATTCTTCATTCTATATGTTTACAACAGTTTTTAAAGATCTAATCCACATAAAGTTTAAATATTACGCTTTTAATAATTGAATCAGAAAATCAGAAATAAATCAGAAATTTTGTGTACCTGAAAAATAATTAAAAAATAAGTGATTTGTCAAAAACAATTAAATTAGTCAATTTAATCAATTTACATTCAGTATTAAACAAAATTATATAATATTGAAAAAATATTGTCAAGTGTGACAAGTATATATTATTTGATTATAATTTGATGCGAAAAATATATATAAATATCGTATAAATGATTGATTGAAATCGCTGTAACAAAAAGAGAAAACATGCATGCGTTCGGTTGCGTACATTCAACTTACTCATCTGCAATTATCAATTTTGACGCGTGAATCGCCTCGTAAAGTATTTATGATAGCGGGGCACCGTTGCATCAATGACGGGAGTCTCTCTGCTTCTCTTTCTCTCTCGGGCACGCTTTAATGATCTACGCGGAAATAATTCGCGACGCATACATTTCCCAGACGCGTATATTAGCCGCTGTGTAATTCTAATGGCGACGCTTTTAACGCTGACCTACTTCGCTTCCTGTTTTCCGCGAGAGGCATCCCCCGTTCACCTGCACCTGAGTTTAATTACTAGACGAGGAACCTCTCCTGGGAATCTTCCTCGCGCCGTGCCGCGGTAAAAGAGTACCGGAAGGAATCAACAACGGGGTACTCAACCTTCTCCACGTCGATCGTGTGGACAGATTTCACGATACGAAAGGTTACGATACCGGTGTAAGATGCAGGCATGAGATATTATTAAAACCCGTTTATCTAGGAGATGGAACCGTCTTAGGAAAATTATTGCATTTGATACACTATCTTCAGTCTTGTACACGATAACTATCTATGCAAAATGTTTACGTCCGCGAAAAAAATAATTTATATATATATATATATATATATACAGGATGTTATAAAAGTACCGGAACAGCAGAATAACTCGAAAAATATGAGTCTTAGAAAAAATCATAAAAACTCTGTACTTAACATTTTTTCCAAGACTCATATTTTTCGAGTTATTCTGCTGTTCCGGTACTTTTATAACACCCTGTATAAATGTTTGTTTCTTATACTATCTCTGTTCGTTTACAAAAGAAAGAATAAGAACAATTGAAAAATAATTAGAATTATTTTCGTATTCTTTTTTTTTGGAAAAAATAATTTTTAATGATATGCGAAAAAAATTGCCTACATATAATTATATATAAATGTATACGTAATTGTATATGTAAATTATGCAAATTATTTATGTAATTATGCATAGAATATATTTTATAATTTAATTGAAATTTTTTGTTTTATCTAAAAAAATCAATACAAAAATTATATTTCTAATTATTTGTATCGCATAAATTCGAGTGGAAAGTATATAAGAGAAAAAACATATATGAACATATTCCATATGTAATTATATGTATATGTATATGATAATATATGCGGACTTCTTTTTCTGAAGAGTAGAAACTTTATCATCTCCATTAACAGGAAATATTAATAAAACATACAGAAAGAAAATTGAATATTCTTAATTATTCAAATCGTCAGATAATATAGAATGATTATCTTTTTATTGAAACTGAACGAATACCAGAAATTGTATAATTATTAATTAATATATTAAATTTCACACTTGTAGTTAAAGAATTTCTCGATGTTCCAATTTCAGTAAATAAGAAATGCATTTATAAATAGAGAAAAAACGTAAAAAATGCGTCTGCTAAAGCGCAAAAACATAGTCTCGGTATAAAAACACAAAATTCGAAATAAATCATACATAATTTCGGGCGTTCGCAGGACTTTTTCCAGGGAGAGACATAATTAAATTTTTGTGTTTTTTATTTTTTATTCATTTTTTATTTTTAAATTTAATTTTTTTTCATTTTTGAATATTAAATATCCAAATAAATTCTAATGTTTATTCAAAAGGAGAGCAAATGCTTAATTCTGTATTGATTCCAAGGGGGTTACATCGGAGTAAAATATTGGTCAAGGAAGCCAAAATATAGAAAGAGTTTTCGCCGCTCTAGAATAACGTTTGCCGAATGTGAATGAAATTTTGAAGAATGAATGGCCAGACGCGAAATCCATTGAAACACATACCTGTATGTATGTGTCTCGAACTCGGCAGGAGGAAGAGTTCAAGGCAGATATTGTCCGTGCTCACGGGGGCGAAACTCCGGTGTCAAGGGCGGCGACGACGACGGCAGAGGATATTAAATTATTTACCGAAGCGCGTCTGCGCCCGAATAATCTCCGCTCTCGCCGAATATTCTCCGAGACGCTCTCTCGTTCTCTTACGAGGCGTTTATCGGCGTCGAATAACGCCGGTCGTTATTCGACGTTGAAAGAAAGGAGAATTGCAACTCCTCCTCTCTAGAATGTGTACGTTATAATTTTTTATTTTTTCTCCTCGTGCGAAAGTGGCGCATATATACATATACAAATATATATATATATATATATATATATATATATATATATATACATATACACACACAGAACATCAAACGGAAGTTCTGCAATGCCGCATGTGTGAAGCAAATTTTTTATTTGCCCGTATAAAAGTTTGACAGCCGTTAATTTATTTCTTACATGTGTGCATATGTGTATGGGAAAGAGAGAGACCAGCCGTTACGATGACGTATGCGAAAAAGGATGTAATAATGTTACGAATTACGTTTCAAGTCTAAGTATTTTTTACCTTGCTCTTCGCGTAAGGATTAAAATCCGTATATTACGATTAATTACTCGCGTAAGAGATAAACTCGATTCGACATAGATTAAAATGTATAATAACACGTTTAGGGCGAGTTTAATATTAATTGCCGAGAGTCTCGGTTGCAATGCATAGGAGCATAATTAATAATAAGTATAGGAAACCGTCGCGTTCGACGGCTAACGGTTTTCGCGAATGGAAGTGAATGCACGAGATATTAAGTGAAACTTTTCAAAATTGGAATTCTCTCAGAGAGAAATTCCACGCGAAGAGAATTCTCTCATAAAATTTATCCTGAAAATCATGGTCAATCGTGGGACAATATATTATTGGAAGAATTTTATAAGTTTCTCTGATATTAATATTTGCCACAACAAAAATATTAATGTATTTATATAGTAAAGTTAATCAAATATATTTTATATCTTATTGTAAATATTAATATTTTTTATTCCAATGTGTAAATATTAATCAGAGAAATTCTAATAAAATTCTTCCAATACCATATTGTCCCATATGATTATCATGATTTTCAAGATAAATTCTAAGAGAAAATTCTCCTCGTGCAAGAGTCTCACACTTGTTCTATCGCAGTTTAAAAAGAAAAGAAAATATTTTTTTATTAAAGAAAGAAGTATTTTCTGAACCCATGTTTATATAACTTTTTTTCATCCTTACGATAAGAATATGTAGGAGCACTTTAAGAGTTTGATCATCTATTTCTAAAATACCCGTATAACATAATATATAATAAATTATAATATACTGAATTTCTGTAGTTATATGTCAGATGAACGCAAGAATCTTGCACTTTCAAGAAGTGACATTTCTCTCTAATAGTCTACCATACTTCAATATATGCTTGTCTATTATATAGCGTTGATGACAGATGGTGATGTAACATTACACGTTAAATGCTTATTATATTTGATTATATTTTCATTGTGATAAAAAAACAAAAGACCAAGATAAATATTTCCGATGTAAACGTATATAAATACAAATATTTTAAAAATTATGACTAGACTTCGGATTATATACAAATTGCATATTTGTTACTTTTTGTATATTCTACGAGAGCATTAATAATATGAACAAATTGTGTTTTCAACCAATTAATGTTAATTAATTGAAAATATAATTTGTTATACAAAAATATACAAAAAGTGACAAATATATTTGCAATATAATCCGAGTCCAGTTACGACTACCGTGAAAAACATGCAAAATTCATATGAAAGACACGGTTCGTCTAAACGAAGCATAAAAAGAAATATTTATTCGCTGTATTTGATTTCTACACCTTTATATGGGACACTTTTGGTCGCAATTATCAATGACACGTGCAGAATTCTGCAAGAGGATAATAAATGCGGCTCGCGTACCTGCCAATCTCCCTCCGTCAGTAGTAAAAGCTAGTTAAAATCAACGCTAATGCACGAGCGGAGGATGGTGAGACGGAAAGAGCCATTAACCTGAATATCTGCCGTGGATTCACCGCGCGGCATCGACGTGATTTTTTTTTTCCCCTCACGCGCATCTTTAATCATGTTCCCAGATGCATGTGCATAGCGCCGTGTTTTCCCGCCAGTTTCCGACTTTCGGATAACTAATTAAAAGCGAGCTCTCTTTTCGCACGATCGCGCGCGTGTGCGCGGCCGATACGCCAGACTAATTTCTATTTCATCCTAATTCGCCGTCGAGAAAATATGAATCGGACGATTGAACGTTTGAATGAAATGAGATGCGGAGCGAGAGTAAAAGTTTCACGAGCACGTTCGAGCGCGGGACTACAATAGTAGCCAACGATGATCGAGGAGAATGTGAATAAATCGGCGTGTCTCTTTTGCACATTTCATTTCAGTGTCCAGCAGACTCAATGAAAAAAAATGATTTTTTCCTGATTTTTTCAGATTTTCCAAGACCAGACATTTATTTTTTCCCTGACTTTTTAGTATTATTTTTTCCAAATATATTATTTGCATATATCTATATGATAAATCAATATATAATCACCTTTTTTATTTATATTATATCAAATTTTTTAGGTTTGTCTCTATTAAACACCTTGAAATAAAGTAACACGACGATGAAAATTTAAATTAACGCTGTAGATGAATCGATTTTTAACAACACAGAAAATTAGCGTGTTGAGAGTCAAAAAAAAGTTTATATTTATTTAATAAAAAATTTCAAATTATTGGGATTAATGTAGAATGTGAAAAAATCCAGATAAATAGTAAAATTTTCTGACTTTTCCCTGACCGCTAGATACCCTGTATTTACACCCAATTACATCCCTCCATCACGATACTGTAGCCAGTTTCTTTCGCGACGCAATATTCTTCCGCGGCTATGGCAATAAAAGAAAAAAAGAACGTTTACCTTCTCGAAGAAGTTTTCGCGTACAAAGTTGGCAGAAACGATATAAAAACGAGCTCTTAAATTTTAACCGTCTTATCTGCATACCGAGCAGATTTTTCGATCCCGTGACTGGGATCGAAAGTGATGTCGATGAAACTAAATAACAGGGAAAGATAAGCTATGTCATATGAGATGTACGTTGCCCCCGGGATCGTTAATCGAATCGGTTGTAATTACGTGCCTCGTAAATTTTAACGATCTTCGATCAGAACGGTCAGCAAAAAAGTGGGCGTTATAATTGACAATATGCAGGCGTTTTGGATTTATGAAAGTATGCTGATCTCTCGTTGCGCACGCAAAACAAAGCCTGTTGTTATTGAAAGCAGAAATCGGTTTTCTGATGTTATTCCAAATAATCAAATCTAAATATGTCGCTTGATTTTCAAATTGCCGAAAAATGCCGACATTTAAGTCAATTATACAATATATGTATACTGACAGAATATGTGCTGTGCATTTCCTTTGTCATTATTTTAAATCAATCGCAAACATACATATATGAGCTCATATAATTAATAAAAATATGCAAAATAATGCAGTTTTATATAAAAATATATATATGTAGATATCCATAAAATAATAAATAATTACAAATTGATTATACATAAATTAATCATATTTTTCTCAAAGAAAAAATCTGATGCTTTCATTACGATCAATTTTCTGCGAAAAAAACTCTGGCAAGTCGGTGAGCACAAATATCGCGAGAAGGGAAAAGAAAAAGGAAAGGAAGAAAAAAGATTGGACCAAGTATTTCTAATTTTTTCCGTAATACGCGGATGCGACGTTGAAGTGTGTCAGATGAAAGTCCGAGATGAAAGTGGGGTCGCGCACGATGCTACGTTAGAGAACTCGTAGGTCTAGATTTAAATTATCTCGCACAGATATTTTAGATGAACAGCGATGCAATATTTTGACCGAGTATCAACTAATTTTGCTTTTTCGCTTTAGGCAGTTCACGGATACATTCAGGAATTTTCGTAGCTTGCGGGTACGAAAACCCAAAGGATTAACCGAGATACAAGTTTCGGCTTAAAATTCTTTCTATAATAGTTCCTTTTATACTCGAGGGATCCTTTCTTCAGGAATCTTTTTACTTTTTTACATGTTTTATGGCATTAAAGTTTGATCTAGATAAGAAAAAGAAATTGTTCCCTCTTTGCAACTATTTTGAAAAAAGTTCGAAAGAAACCGAAACATTATTAACATTTTTCGTATCTTTAAATTTTTATTGATAATTACTGCAGTTATATATTTAATGCAGAAAAAGGTCTCAAAAGTTTTTTGCTTGTGCTATATTGCGTAATAATTATATATGTATAATTATATTTTTAATTTCTGTAAAATGTATATATAATAACAATGACAAATAGAAATAATACCCGATATTTAATTTCATCGACATTCATGTTACGTAACATCAAATCCGATGAATCGTTATCGCGTCTTGGCGGATTTCCAGATGAAACAACGCGATCATTAATCAGAGATCTTCATTAAATCGGTCAATCGACCGAGCGCATGCGCGGATGCAACAGCCACATGTGGTTTTGAAATAAATCAAGAGAAATGCACTCACCGTCGCGGCTTCGGACGGAGTATCTCGTGACCCGAATCGGATATGCAGATACTCAAACTGAGCGGTCCCCCATAGTGTTCTGACGGAGCGCCGGCAGTCTGCACAGTTGACTGTTGAGGGCCCGAGATACTTCCGGCCCAGCCGGAAGTGCCGCTTAGAAAAAGCGGCTGTTGCCCACTGTCCATCGTTGGCCCTTCCACGTATCTCTCCGAGAGCTAACACCGCCGAGAAATCTGCAAATTATTTGCAACAATGTCATCTCTCATATTAGAATTTTCATTTACGATCGAAGCAAAGTTTCGAACTTCTCAATATCTGATATTGACTTAACACAAGGTATATTGACTTAATATAATATACATAGAGAATAAAATTATATGTAAACCCATTTTTATATATTGTATACATATGTGTATATTGATTTAATCTATGATTTAAACATGATACTTTTTAATTACATTTAAAAGAAAGTTTTATTAAATAAAACATGATTTTTCACCAACCCTAATTATACTCTAAGCAATATTCCTAAATTGTTTCAATTTTGATTTCTTCTCATATTTTATTTTACATCATTGCATTTTATATAACATTTTAAATTTAATCAAACTTATTGTTAGATGTACAATGGTGAATTCCAGCTTTCAACAATATTGGGAGCAACGTTTGTTCGTTGCTATGAAAGAAAAGAATATTGTGAATTGCATTTCCAAACTCGGCGAATGAAAGGAAATGTTGTACAAACACGTCGCACACAAGATAATACAGAAACTGCACCACATTTCGCACGAGAAAACTATCTAACCAGGGATAATCTATGAAAGAAAGTAATTATGCGAAACTTTCTCGAGCGCGAAGGTCATTAACGAGCAGCCGGATAATTGTGGGTGGATAATTAACTAGTGAGATGTTTATCGCGTTGAGGAAAACAAGGATTATTCAGGATTTATTCATATGATAAAAGAATATCAAACAAACCGACAATAAAAACCATATTCCGTTAATCACGTCATAATTTTATATTACTTATTCAAATATATTTTAACAAAAAACAAGAAAGTGTAAAAAGAGAAGAAAGAAACAGATCAAAAAGCGAAAAGGAAGAGAAAGTTGGAAAGCTAATTTCGTGAATCAGAAAATATTGTACGTGTGTGTACGATACATCTTATAAAAATTTATAAAACGAGTACACTCTAGCAATTATATAAATTGCTTATATTTTCCACAATGTATACTTTGATAAATAAAATTAGAGAAGTTTATTTCTTTTTATATAGAGACATGCGGGCGGCTTATTAAATACCTCGTGTATTTTCGCTTTATTTTCTCGAAAGACCTCACGGCCTATTTTTAAGTATGGAAAACCAGTCGATTATACATTCCCACCGAAATAGAAGGCGGAGAATAAATTTGACTTGGGTTGCGACAACGAGCAGACGGATTATATTATCGGGTCAGATAACCGGGCGCGCGTAAAAAGCCACTTCGCGAATACATCACGGATGCATGTCGCTCACTCGAAAAGAGTATTTTAGGGATCAAGGGTTCCCGATGGGATGAGAAATGCTGTCTCAATGTGTACGGGGCCCAAAATTCTCGCCCCGCGCACGCATCGTGTTTGTACTCGTGTTGCTCGCTTTGACGGACTCTCATATGCAATTACTCTGCCAAGGCTCCCAAAGTGCTTCCTTAAACGTGCGTTTCAAGAAGGAGGACCCCGTCGTCGTGCTCGGCTGCTCTTTCGGGGAACCTTTATCGATGTATAATATTCGCCGAATCTCATCAGTACGACAGTTTTCCAACTTGAGATGACGAAGCAGTCTTCGACAATTCTTTGTTCATCAAAATCTCTCATGCATTAATGATAAAAAAAGATTTTTTTTTCTAATTAAAGGTTAATGGAAAGTAAGCTTCTAAGAACAATCTTGTTTTCAATGTTTAAAAGAATATTAACTGTGTAAATTTTGATATACCAATGCTAATGAAATTAGTTTTATTATTTTTATTTAAAAAAAAGAAGAGTTGGAGACATCTCTATTTTACCTAAAATGGGAAACAATTTTTCTAAATTCTTGATATGTAGGTATTTCTCGCAATTCTTGAAAAACTGTAGAGTAGATTGCACAGTTCAATTCTCAATTCTCGGTGACTTATTTAATAATATACAAGATTCTCTCTCTCAGGTAGCTTATTTAAAGTAAACAGACCCTCTAAAAATGACGTTATCTTGAAGTATACTTTTAACTGACCTCGATTGGTCTCACATATTTTTTTAACCGATCGGTCGGATATACATGCACGCATATCTGAGAACGAACGGGCACATGTAGACAAGTATAAAGTTGTCCCTGGTGCATAAACCTATCATTTGCCAAAAGAAAATCAGGGTCAACCGGTAATCGATAAGTGATTTTATAAAAAGACGAACTGGATATTAAAATAATTTTCCAAAAAAATATTTGTTTAAAAGAAACATTTCATTATGCAATAGTTATTAAACTCTCTCAGATAGTGCTCTCTATGGAACAATACCGTAGAATATAAATATTATATTATAATACACATAAACATATATAGAGAAAAATTATTATATATATAATTGTTGTTTTATGTATATATTAATGTACATTTTATGTACTATATGTATATTTTGTATTTTTTTTTTACAATTTAATTTAATCTTTTAAAAAAAATTAAAGAACATTCTTCGATTAATATTCTACGATGAATGTTTCCAAAAAGAAACAAAATATCAAATTTTGTTATTATTCTGGAAATATATTTTTGCTCAGCTTTTTTTATACCATATTATTACATATCAATCAGGCAAGAATGTGATATCTCCTGTGAGTATACCCCTGGCAAATCAGGGAAGTGGTTAAAATGTATGACGATACAGTGATGCTTTCAAGGCGACACCTGACAACTCGTCCTACTCGTCTCGATCAATCCGCTGATTACCAGTCCCTTAAGAGGACCAATTGCATTAATGTGCTATTTAGAGGCTAATTTTAGTTAAATAAATTTTCCATTACTATTTGTACACTAATGGAATAAAAAAATAAAATTTGTAAGACGTAAAATTTTCAGTAAAATTTCTAAGAAGAAGAAGAATCAACGAAACCAAGCTTATTTAACATATTTCTATTTTTAATCTAACACTAAGACACTTGAACTTCTTATTATGTAATTGTAATTTAAGAGGTAAGAAATTGTTAAAAAAGAATATTATATGCATGTGCATCTTCCACAAACATGTGAAAGAAAGGTAAAAAAAAGTATATAGAATAGAAACTTAAAAAATGTAAAGTTAATTTTCTAATATCTTCAAATTACATACAATCTATAAATTGTTATTATATTAAAAATGTTATTTCAGCAAGAAAAATATTTTAAATATATTTTTTTTTTATCCTTATTGTGTGATATATTCTCTTAAAAAATTTCAATCTGCGAAAAATCATAAAAACTCTTTCAGTTTTGGTTCAATCTGAATATTAAAAATAATCATTAGATAGAAAATGCTATCCAGAATTTAAGAAATATCAAATTTTGAAAAAAAAATCAACTTTAGAAACTTGGAAAATTCTAAATTTCGAAATATTTCGAAAATGTATTTTATTTTTAGCGTCACAAGTGTACAGAAAATTTTAATTAAATTTCTCAAAGAGTTCGATTAAAATATGAAGTTTCTTCGAATAATTTTTCATTCTTAGACTTATAAAATTTTGTTTAAAGATCGCAGCATTTTTACTCAAGATTTTCTGATAGTGTTCTTAAAAGTTTTAAAAATATTAATATGCAAACTGATTTTAATCGAAATAAAAAAGTTGCATTTACAGTTTTCTTACAGTAAAATCACGAATTCCATATTTCTCTATGGGTCATAAAAAAACAGTAGAAGTCTCCAAACTCTTTGCGAGCAAGAGCCGGAACTTTTTCTATGATAATTATATCGAAATTTTATTCTATATTCTGAGAAAAAAGTTCATGTATATTTAATTAAATGTATAATTAAAAATAAATGTATATATACAAAATATATATATAATTTGTCTATATATAATGTTTTTTTTCTCTTAAATAATCCTTCTCTGTATATTAGAAAATATAATTAAAATAATTAAAAAATAATTAGAAGAATTATCGCATTTCTAAAAAGTGAAAAAATTACACGTATATGATTGTCTATACATATATATAATCATATATAAATTTATACATGATTATGATTATTTATGGACAATTTTTTCTCAATTTTCTAATTTTATTTTTTCTAAAAAACCAATGATTTTTCAATTATTTTTCCTGTATATACAAATGAGGATTATACAAAAGATCGAAAATATATATAGACAGCTATTTATTGTATATGTATAATTATATGTTTAAATTATATACTTTAAATATTATATAATATTATATAATACATTTAGATTTGACTATATAAATATACGAGACTTTTCTCGAATATATATATACATATACATATAATTTCAAAAATAAGATACTAACTTTACGGAAGTTGCCCAAGCTTGCGGCGTTTTTTCCTTTTTGTTTGCAAAGAGTTAAAGCATTACGAAGGATTTAAACAGCTGTGAGCGCGAACGTGTGAGTGGCTCGGACAAAAGTACGATCGGGGCGCATAATACTCTTGACGCGGCGTTGAAACCCGTACGTAGAAACCTATACGCGGCATTGAATACACATGCACGTATATATATGCGTGGCATGGTGTAAGCGACGTGCACGCGGTCGTCCGCCCCACGACCGCCGCATTCCAACAGGGCTCTGCCCAAACTAAAGCCTATACCTTATACATCGAGTTTTCTCTCTTTCTCTCTCTCTCTCCTCTTTCCGTCTCTCTTTCCTCTCCCCGCTCTTCCCGATATTCTCCCCCCTTTCCTCTCTCCCTCATCTCTCACCGTAGCATTTTTTTTCTTATTCTTCTTGTTTTCCTCTCGTCTTTCACTCTATCCTTCCTAGCGTCTCTCGCAAGAATCCGCACTCATCTTGTCCCCTACTCGGATGAAATCTACATATTTCGCTTTGTTTCTCGCTCTTTTTTTCTCTCTCTTCGCGAACATCACGTGACATTTGATACAATCGTGTTTAAATAACATATTTTATGGGAATAGTATGTGTTGATGCTCGTATACGTCACGTTGTTCTTATGAGTACTTTATCCTTTAACGTAACAAAACATCGACAAGATCGATTTCTATAAAGACAATAATCTTTATCGGAAGTTAACTGTCTTTCCATCTTTTTGTTAATAAAAGAGAGAGATATTTAAACTATAACGTTGATATATCTGAAAGTAAATACTAAAGGAACTATATATGCTCTTAACGATTCTAACGGTTCACGTTTCAAGATCCATAAGCATCTAAATGTAGTAAATAAAATTTAAAAGATGGAAGAGAGATGAAAGAGAGATGATTTAACATTTTCTAATAATGTGAATTTCTATTTCAATCGAAACACTTCACGGAAAGAATTTTGTCTTAGAATTTATTCTGAAAATCATGATAATCGTGATACAATATATATAGTATTGGAGGAATTTTATAAGAGTTTATATGATTAATATTAGCACAATAAAAAATATGTATATGTACATAGCAAAATTAATCGAACATATTTTATATTTTGTTGTGGTAGATATTTAATCAGAGAGAAACTCTTATAAAATTTTTTACCATATTGTCCCACAATTATCATGATTTCCAGGGTAAATTCTAAATGAAAATTCTCTTTGTGCTTGATTAAAAAATATATTTTAGTTTTCCTTTAGTATAATTATATTTTCCTATATCATTAAGGACGTCTTCAGAGACTTCTTCAATGATTTACTTATTAGTTTTAATATTTCGCAACCAATAATCAATGGCATTTTAGACATCAATAACATTTTAAATTAAAGTAAATGTATATATATATATATATATATATATATATATATATATATATATATATATGATTTTTTATAGAAGATGAGATTTGTTATAAGACACGTCTTTTCAAAAAAAGGGTAGAGTGTGCAGAATAATTTATGTTAATTTTATGTGTGTGTGTGTTTATTATTATAATTATATTCTCCTTAAGCAAACGATTTAGAAATTATGATCGATGGGCTTGAAATGACCAAAGTCGTTAGTCCATCCACCTGTCCTCGATTGCGAATAAAACGTGGCAAAAGATGAGGCTTACCAAAAGTCGTTCAACGCGTTGACAGAACGGGGCACGTCCTCGCGCCGTTGGGCACATATCTGGCAGGCCAAAGAAAGGCCAAAGTTCTTGCTGCTTTTGAGAACGAGAGCTCCACGTTCTCCAGCTAATTTTCGTCTTCTCACTTGCACCGTTTTTACTACCATCTAAAGCAACAGGCGTGTTTTTCTTGCCTGCACTATATCTATATCTGCTTGCTCCTTCTTCTTATGACAATCAGAAGCAGGTCAAAAAAGATCCCTTTTCTCCTATTATAGTATTTTCTTTTCCTAAAAAAAATACACATACACTTTACTTTTCCAATTATTAAAATACATTAAGTATATATAGAAACTCGAAAAAATATATATACAAATTATTACAGCTTCTCGTAAACAAGTTGTATCTTGCACAAATTTCAATACTTGAAAATTTATTAATTAAGCTTCGAATCAAAATTGAACTTAATAATATATATAATTACGTTGCTTATATTTAGCTTCTTATAGATATTTGATCAATGTGGGAAACTAATATTCCTCCAATTTCAAAGATCCAAACCATCTGTTCTCGCTAACACGGAAGTTTCTACACATGCTTCCGCATTCTCTCCGTACAAAATTCTGTTAACCATGCATTTCAAAAAACGCGATGACTCCAATACTTAAACGTTACAATTTTTAAATTTAAATCCGATTCGAAGCCTCATATGCTTTTGCAACAATAAGCACAAAATTGTCTTCGTTTAACCAGCGTCTCTCAGACATTTCTTTCCTTACACATTTAAAGTACAAACGAGGGAAAAAAAGGCCAAAGGGACAAACCTTTCGAGATGAGATGCGCGTCAGTCAAGCGCCGCGTGGAACTGTAAACACGCCCGGGCCTTTAAAAAGGTCTCCTCTTTCTCTCTCTCTTTCTTCCTCTTTCTTCCTCCCGTGCACACAACAATCGGATCTTCGCACTGCCGAGACGCCGATTGAATTCGACGATTGTCTCCGCGGCTGTCGCTCCCGGCGATTCGAAATAACTCCCTCGTCGAGATATCAGGATATCACTCTGTACATATACGCGCCGATTTTCCTCCCTAATCGCGCACTCACGTCCGTCCGAGTCTCGACCGCCGCCGCTTTTCGGCAGCTGTCAATTACCGCCAACACAGTTGCCGCGTTTATGCAGCATCCCGATCCAACCGCTCTTTCGTGGTCCAGAGAAATCGTCGGAGGAAAACAAAAAAAAACTCGCGCGATCGTGGAGAAAAATCGCGCCACCGCCACCTGACGGATATCTTCAGAATCATTTCTCGTTGTCCATAGATCGATCATGGATAGTCGAGATATATCGAGATATGATAAACAATGACTGTAGTTCCTGTCTCGTCCTCTGGCGCGCTGTAATTTTTTTATTTATTATATAAATAAAATTGTCTGTTGTAAAAAAATTGCTAATTACAAGGAAATTCATGCGAGTAGAAAAACCGAGTAAGAAGTGAAAGAAAAATAAATTTACCTTTCAGCTGAAATTTATGCTGCCAAGTTTGATAAATATAACAGGCTGTCCTGTGGAGCTGCAAATTGTTTTGCCCAAAATAGAGTCTCTGACAATTTGTTGAACAGCTTCTCTGAAACAATTGAAATAATTGTGTTTTAAATAATCGTATATTCTAATATGAATGCTTTACGTTCGAGTGTTAAAACTATTATCCTAAGTAAAGGAGTGCATTCAGTAAATTATCAAGGTTAGACTTGCTTATAACACATGACATAGTTACATAAATCTCATTAAATGAATAGAATAATGGTATTTTATTATATAAAATTTATCTATATAATTATCTATAAATTTATCTATATAATTTTGCGTGTACAGGGCAGAGAGGTATTAAAAGATGGGTGTCCGCGACACAAATAGAAATAACTAATCGCAAGAAGAGGATAGCTCGGTGGACGCCTCAGCAAGAACCAAAGCGTAATACTTTCCTGGATTGGAATCGATCTGCAGAAACTTATGCATTTAATACAAGACTATCCGAAAAATTTAATATTGAAAAATTGGAGCAAGCTTTCACTCACAGATCATATGTTATTCAAGAAGAGCAACGACAGAAAGAAATGGGAATAGAAGAGCCTAAGCTTGATATACAGGATAATACAGAGCTTATTATGAAAGGCGAGAAGCTTACCTCAGAAATTGTACAAAATTATTTAACTCAAGCTTTACCTCGTGTACCAGAGAATATCATAATGTATGTATGATACAGGTTTCAATGATATAAATTTGATAAATTTCATGCTCTTATACAAATAATAATAGAAAAAATTAATTATGTTTCAGTTTATTACATGATTATCTTCTTGATGAGGAAATTCTTGCTAAGGCATCCTTTCATATTGGTACAAAGGATATTATCTTAACTGAAGTAAGTATAAATATCCAAAAACTATGAGTTCTTCAGATTGATTTAGAACCAATTTCACCAACGTTAACTTTAACCTCCAGTTAAATTATATCTTTGTCTCTTTTTAAGAACACATCTGAAAAGAGACAAAGATTTAACTAGACTTAACTTTAAGTTAACTAATGTTGGTGAAATTTGCCCTCAAAATGCATGATATATATTTATTAGCACAAATTATGTATTATAGAATTATAATTTGAAATTTGTTATGTTTTAGGAACATCCAGTAGCACAGAAAACTTTAGCTGACACTTTCCTTGCACTTGTTGCGGCACTTGCAGAAAGTGTAGACGCCAATCACGCGGCAAATTTCGTTAAAGATTTCCTAATTGTAATACTAGCTGAGAAAGATTTAACAGAAATCTGGAATCCAGCTCAACCGGTTGAAATTTTAAATGATGTTCTACAAAAACAAAACAGATCGCCTGCTGAACCTAGGCTCATTGGACAAGCAGGACAAAATACACTTTTAGTCGTATATCATGTAGCAATGTATTCTGACAAAGAGTTCCTCGGTTCAGGTAAATGTTAATGCCATATAATTCTATTTCATGCATTTCACATATTTAATTTAATTTATCATATATAGCTTATTTCTTTTATATATATTTATATGTATATTTTTTTTTAGGATTTGGTCAAACTATCCAAGAAGCTAAAAATGTAGCTGCGATAAATGTTTTAAGCCGAATGTATGGTTTATTAGATTCTAGTAAACCAGTTAGAATCGACAAAGCAATAAATATATTCTCATAAAAAAATATATGTAATTTTTAATTCTCTAATTAGAAAAAGAAAAAGAAAATATTTAGTACAGTAATATAAGGGATTTTGGTAATACTAAAGGAGAGTTTGTCTTCTCCGTATATAATATTATAAATTTTCATTATAAACAACATAAAAGTAGATAACGACAATTTAAATGTATAGATTCGTGTTTTATGCATAAAAATATACAATATTATAATTTTGGAGTAAAGAGGATGGAGAGTTCTCCTTCAGTATTATTCTGAAAAGAATATAGTAATACCTTTATGCAAATTAAGTAATTTAGCATCTCGACAAATTAGATGCATCCCGTTATTACGTTGACTCACGCAACATATTTTTTATCTTTGATGTTTTCTATCTCTTTTTGTGTAGATGCGTTTCTTTCTATTAATTGCACTGTATTACATTTTTATACTTCAAGTTGAAATGATGTAAGAGAAGAAGGGAAATTATGCTTAGAAAGATAAAAAATACAGCTCGGAAGAATAGATTTTGCCACAACGTGTGCCACGAAAAAAAAATCTATGCAAACGAAAAAAAAAAATTATATACACTATCGACACAATAAAAGCAGCGTAATAAACATTTGATGTATTATAATAATTGAAATAATACTCTCGTTTCGTCAAGTAAAATAAATAAAATTAATAAATAAGGTAATTTACTCACGGATACATCAAGCGATTCGTAAACGGTGCCGTATTACGTTAAAAAGAAACTTTAAGGTCGCGTTCGGAAATCCGTCAAAGTGCAGAATTTGTCCAACCAATCGGAGGCCGAGGCTCTCTCCGTCCTGATTGGTCAATCGCGCGCTTCACCTTAGACAAACCTATTTTTGAACACATTTTAGCGCTGCCATCTGGTGGCACTTTTTGTTCGCAATCAACATTCGTGTGAGTATCGTCGTCCACAAAACTACGAATGTGAATATTAATTAACGTCTTCCCGTCGTTAATTTTCGGGTAAGATTGCGTGTCTCGATATCCTGATCGCGATCGCAAACGCGCGAGATCGAGATCGCGATCGCACGCCCGAAGTTAGTCTTCGCAGAGGTCGCGAGTTGGGCCAATCTCCCGTCGTCCCTCGCGTCGTCTTCGCGTGACGTCACAGCTCCGCCGACTCAAACCGCTGAAGAGTGAAGTTCGCGCGCTTGAGTTACCGAGGACGGATCGCGAGAGATCACCGTGCGCCTTCGACGCGAAAATTGTCCCAGTTTTTCGGCGTTGTCGATGGTATTCTCGACCGGCGATCGCGCGTTTCCGGTCGTACTCTCGAAACATCGTGTCGGAGCATCGCCGCGCGACAAATTAGGCTCGTAATTCTCGTCAAAATTGTAGCTCGCGAACGACAATGGTCGCGTCGCCATCTTGCCATTGTTATATCTCTTCGTGTCGTACTTTGCTCTCCGAAAGTTTGGTGAGTTGTCGAGTTGGAAATATTCAGCAACGAGCGAGAAGTGCGCGTGTTAATCGTATATCGGCGAAATACGCGACGATCGTGAGTGTTATATGTGGTGTTTCGGAAAATGCTTCTTATTTCGTCTAGTCATAGGGTTCTCGGATTCTTGAGGCCTGATTCTCGGATTCTCGAGGCCTGATTCTCGTAATCGCGTCTAGATGGCGCGACGTGACAGTATTTTTTCCGAACAGTGACTTCGCGAATTTTCCGAAATACGCGTGAAATACTCGACGAGAAATAATCGGCGAAGATCCTCCTGCAGTGACTTTTTTTTCGTCGTCGAATATTCAGTGAAATATAAAATAGTGAAGTGTGTAGTGAAATATCGGCGACTTCTGAGTGCGATAAGGCCCTTCGATAAGGCCTTGGAAAAGGCGGCGACGTGAAAAAAGAGCACCGGTTTTGTTCGCGCGCGAATAAGCTCTCGCGATTCTCGCGTTTTACCGAAACGCGTCGAAGATGTTATACTTAAAATCCCGGCGTCGCCGCTCGTCGCCAACGAAAAAAGAGTAACGGGAGTGCAAGTGTGAAGTGTTTCGAAGCTCTTCTACGAGGAAGAGACCCAGGGTCCAGGGCTACATCGGACAACGGCGGAGCAACTATATGGTAAATATTTATTTAGTTACTATTAATTATTAATAATTAATATTACTTATTCCATTATTTATTTCTTTAGATACTATTTTCACTGCTAAAAACTAAATTTAAATATAAATATAAATTTAACATATATAAGATAGGCAATAAGAGCCAAATCGCGGATGACAGTGCGTTATTCTAAACGAAACTAAATTTTTCGTTAGAATTAATTTTGGCCGTGTCCAAGTAAAAATTTGGTGCCTTGTGCACAGGTATTTAATTCTAACGAAAAAATTTAGTTTCGTTTAGAATAACGCACTGTCATCCGCGATTTGGCTCTTATTGCCTATCTTATATATGTTAAATTTATATTTATATATTACAGAGCCTAGTTAAACTCTTAAATTTAAATAATTATGTTAATTTTCGAAATAATTTATTTTAAATTTCACTAATTTCCGTGTATTTATATTTTACAGATTTTACAACTCCGCTGTTTTGCATCGTACGGTGAGTCTCATCGATTTTTATTTAAATTTTAGGTAATTGGTAACAATCCTCTCCGATTTCGCCGATACTTTACAATTATTGTCTATTTTTATTCGTAACAAAATCAATCAATGTCACAAAATCGTATATAAATCTGGACACAGTTGAAAAATTTGTGTTAAATTTAACAGATATCACATGTTCCAAACGGTCCACAGACATTTGTGTTTTAATTTAATATAATATGAATAAAATTTCAAGTTTAAAATCAATTTTGTGTAAAATTAACATATTTGTCATGTAAAAATTAACTAAAAATATGTTTTAATTTTTTATTTTTACTTATAAAATAAAAAAATCAACACTTCTGTAAATTTTAACAGAGATAAATCTTGTCACTAATAAAACAAAACATATTTATTGTGTAAAATTAAAAATAGATGCACATTGTGTTATTTTTACATCTTTTCAGTAGTTTTAATAATTTAACATTCGAGTTCAATTGACACAACAGCAATATGTTAAATTAATACATGAAATTGTTAAATACTAAACACAAAATTTTAACGGGGACCATTTTGAGCGAGAAAACAAATTTTTCTACTGTGTAAATTTAAATCCGCCCCCTACTGTAACTTTTTTCCATTTGAGAGCGACAATTTTAAATCCGTCTATCTTTAAGTCTTATTTACACATGTCAATCACAATGTCCTCCAATGATCGTTCGCGTAGTCTGATGAAAATGGAGAATTACGATTCTTTTCGACTTATCTCGCAAGAGGGCACCGACAACGACAAAAGATGCCGCGTTTTATGTATCTTTATGCGAGTTTCCACTCTATCCTGATCTTGGTTGAAGGGAAAACACGCGCATCGCAAATGCATGTTGTGCCGAAACCTCTCCGGTGGAGCTTCGGATCATGCGATCTTATCGACGATTAGGGTCTTTTCTACTTCCAGAACCAGAAAGTCAAGTTTGCCCTGCACGATACTTAGAAACTTGCTTAGGTATAATCCGGACTTTTTCAAGAATTTTTATTTCGAAGAGTAGAATCTCTTCATTTATCTAAATATTGTTACAAATGGAAAATAATATTTCTATATTCACTCGCGATAACGAAAATACGCAGCCTCTCGTAGTTATTTACATCGAGAATTCAATTTATTAAAATTTTAACGGTGTGTGAATAATTTTATCAAAAAATTCCATTTACATTTTCCATATCTTTTTACACTTTACAAATATATAAAAGCCGTACCTCGCGTGAATATTAATAAAGCTTTTCTTCTAGTATTCAACGTTCGAAAAAGAGATATACGCTTATGTATTTAGCGCATTATAGTTTCCTCTTATAGTTTCGAAATGCATTTTCATTCTTTCCCGAAGAGCGTTCGATACCGATTATATACGCGAATCATTTCGAATTCTGGCTATATACTATATCTCGGGCGGATGTGCGGTTACGGGGATGAAAGGAGATTCTGCACGCGAAGTAACAATCAAAGTTTGAGTACGACAATTTCTGGCAGATGGCTCCGAAAATGGATTTCCGCGAACTCGCGCAGCGGCTTACATCGCTATATCAGCTATATACCTTTAACGATGACGATGCCAATGCTCTTGTGGAAATGACGCAACTAATGGAACTAACTATTCAGCTGCCTAATGTTCGTAACGCATATGCAACGAGCGATGTTTAACTGTCGCCAAATGCAATGGCCGTTCATTAAATGACAAAGATGTATCGAGGACAGCCACACGTTGACATCGAAATCGAATAAAGGAAACTCGTGTCGAAGAAATCGATGCGAGAGAGTTTTTCTTCCCGCGAATTTTCAGCATTCTAATATATCCACGATTTATTATCAGATTATATTTTTCTTGTTTTTTTCATATTACAGAAAATTTTATTCGACGTTAATATATCATATTCTCTTCGCCTCTCGAAAACTTTAAGAAGCGCTGAAATTATTTTCCATAATAGCCTTTCAAAATGAATACATCAGTCAGGAATCTCTCTGCATCGTATAACGTTTTACAAATTTCCACACATATATGATACGCGTTTTCAATTAAAATTGATCGATCAAATTGATTGATTAAAGCGAGTACAAATTTGATTTAATAAAAATTGCCGATAAATAATTTGTCGGAGAATAACTCGTAAAGAATCGAGCAATTTTAATTCACGGAAGAGAGAAAGTTATATACGACAACAAGCATTTTTATTTCAAAAGTTATTCAATTGCAGATGCTATGTATTCTGCGTTGCATCATTTCTCGAAAACCGTGTATATTTATTTCCTAATACATAAAATGCACATAATTCTGTTTCTCATCCGAGTGAAAGCAACTCGATTGAAAATTAATATCTTCTCGTCTACCTATAGAATAATGAAAAAAATTCCGTCGCGTCGCCAATTCCTCGCGATCGTTGCAAAAATATTTTTGCAAAAAAAATCATCAGTTCCTCATTCGCTTTTCTCGCCGCAATCTCTCTTTCTTTGCAGCAACGTAAATCAGAAAAATCGCTTGGCGCGTGTATAAGAATACAGCGCGTTCGCGCACAAGTCACGCCTTGATAAGCAGCATCGTCGTAAAAAAGATCGTCGTCGTATTTTCTAGCGGTATATCTCACGCCAATGGCGAACGCGTAGAGTAGTCGCAGGATCGATTGCGCGAATAATATAATGGAAACGGCCCGCGGTGTGTGTCACTTTCGCGTCGCACGGTCCTTGCACTTTTAACGACGGAATTTGCGAAATTCTCGGAGATCCGACGGCGTCTGCGATGGTCATCGATCCGCAAATTGTCCCGGAGAGGCTGCCAATTGTCCTTTAAATGAGTCATACGCCGCGCCTGATGCGGGAATTTTCGAGTCCGCAGGCACATGGGCGTAGATTTATTCCAGGAAGGGAATTAGAATCGTTGTTTTTCTTTCTTATTATTATACTTCCTTCATTTTTCTAATTCCATTTTTTTATTATTTTAATATTTTTATTTTTTGTCCCCTTGCGAACGCCCATGTCGAGGCATAAATTATTCCTCCTACAGTCGGATTATATTGCGTCGAGAGATAGCTTCGTTGAGCATCCAGCGACATTTAATAATTTCTATTGGCTGCTGAAAAATTGCGCGTCAAAAAATCAAAGGAAAAATTGTATATAAGCCTTTTATTTGATTTATGCAAGAAAAATTGCTCCGTTTTTTTTTTCGACGCGCGTCTCGTCCGCCTAAAAATGCGCCTAATGCGCGATCGTAAATGCGGAAAGTAATATTCCGCGGCGAACGGGAAACGTTACATCGCTAACGGGAAACGCTATATATCGCTGGTAGACCGAGCGACACATAAAACGCATTCGTCGTGCGCGAGCGCGAGACTTTATGATACATCGCCTCCTATTTCTAACAACGGAGGAAAATGAAACGAACAACGCGCGCGCGCATTTCACGCACTTTGATATTTTCAATATGTAAATGTTATTCGTCGCGACGGGATCGTCGCGAGCGTAACGCGAGGAGGAGAACGAACGTCTCGCGTTTATATAGTATTTCTCTTACCAACACTTTGTACTTATTCTCGCGCTTTATTATTCGTGTAAATGTTCACGCGGCGGCATTTCGAGACGATCTGTCATTTCGAGTCGAATTGCGCGCCTGTCAAATCGCGAGAACGCAGTCATACGCGCGACAACAGATTGAGAGATGAGTTTCGAAAAAAGAAAAATCTCGAGAAACATTATGTAGGAAAAATGTATTATCTTGGAAATAAATATCAGTTGTGTGCATTCTCTCCTCTGATAATAATACAAGCTATAAAAATACTTTTTATATACGCTCGTTCTTTATTCTCTCCTTCGTTGTAAAAGATTTTACGAGATTCCAAAAATATTTAATCTTGCAAAATATTTGCATTTAAATAATCTATGATATTTCGGAGATGTTTATACATTTAATTGAGAAAAATAATTGAAATATAATAATGATTGGAAAAAAAGAAAACTTGCTTTGTGATCGGTATTTTTTTTTCTTTTTTAATTGTGAATTCAAGTCAAAATTATATATATACAGATACGTGGATAATCGGAAAATCGTTTTTTCATTGACCCCCTATTTTCAGATCTATGATCGTAGCTTGTTGCTATTAGGTTACATGCATCTGCACACAGTAATTTAATAAAAATAGCAGGTGTATCACGTATCCGTTCTCTCTCTCTCTCTCTCTCTGTCTCTCCCACCCCTCTCCTCGCTCTTTCTCTTTCTCTCTTGGGATGGAGATATCGCAAACTGCGTACGCAATTTCGAGTCGTATAGATTGCGAATTGCGGTTATTAAATCCGTCGGTTTACCGCCTGTATTAGACGCGCGCGTTTTCCGTACATAAAAAAAAATAGATCAATCCCCGGAAATATCGCATATATAATCCTTCCGCGGAAAATGATTTTTCGTGCTTGTCAAACTGTACTCTATATAAATGCGTAAAAATTTCGTTGGTCGGAATCGAAACGGATCGTCGAAAAGATGCGAGCCGGATTCGACGACGCGGTTGAATGCCATCCTGAAATTTTTCTATATCGGTCGCAGGCATAATATTGATTATTTATGATCCACGCTATCCCCTTAAGGTGGTTCATCCTTGTCCCCGTCCGCGCGTTCTACCTCCCCGCCGTGTCACCCCTTCCACCGGCCTCCGTCTGTCATTCTCTCTCCTTCATTCTCTCTCTTTCTCTCTCTCTCTCTCTTCCTCCCTCTCTCTCTCGCGCTCGCACGCCCATGCGCGCACACAGGCACACACGCGGTACACAGACGCTTGCGCTCTCTTTCTCCCACTCTCTTCCTCTCTTTCTCTCTCGTATTATTCCCCAACTGGCTCTCCATTCCTGCGTGTAACGACTCAATGGCGCTGCCACACCCTTGCGCCATCCAGTAATCAGTGCTATTGTTTTATAGTTCCTCTTCTCTCTCTCTCTCTCTCTCTCTCTCTCTCTCTCTCTCTCTCTCTCTCTCTCTCTCTCTCTCT